TATATATATATATATATATAAGTTCATTCGTCACTTTGATATTGCACATTTATAAGACACATATTCATATATGTATACATGTGCACACGCGTGCGTCTGTCTGTAAATACCTTTGTGTAAGTGTATGTATGTGCATCAAAAAGCTGGAATGGAACTTGGAATAAAATATCTTTTTCAAGGCAAGAATTTCCGGCGCAGCTGTCCTGTTTCATCTGAGATAATCGACCCGCGATATTTTATTTCACCACTACCATATAATAATAATAATCATTTCTTTCTCTCTTTTCTCTTTAATAATACAATAGAGTTTTATGCGGTGGAACAAGCACACGCGTACATTAAGAATTCACCACCACCAATATCATTAGTTATCCGCTCTGGTTTGGGCAATTGTGCCCAAAGAGCGAGCTTTATTGGAGTGTATATTTACTACGACCCACACAGTATTTCACATCATTTACGATGGCTTCATGTAACAACACGCCAACGAGCAAAGCGCGATTTTAATTTGATTTTATAACGAGGCTTCTCTTTTATAGGCCCTTGAAAAGAAAGCCATATATACGTGAAAATACGGACGATTCGCTGTTTTGTGATTTAAAATGTTACGAAATGAAAATGAAAATTGTTAAATGACAAAACAGCTGGATATGGATTCCGTGTTGTCTTCATAAAACTACGCATTGCATTGGGATTATGCAAGTCATCAAATTCATAATAAATCCTCATTTTCCTCGATCAGCTAATAATTGACTTTTCTTCGAAAGCAAGGATGTATTTTACTTTAATTAACTTCAAAATGTACATGTCATTAAATAAAACACATTGTTTTTATAAATAAACTACTTAGTCTTGGATGTGACTCCAAAAAAATCAAGAAGCCCCATTTTTTAAACTATGTACCGTGAAAAAAAGATTACATTTTTTTCACCAATAAAAACAAAAACAATAATTTCAATATCGTGATACAATACAATTTCATGCAGAAGAATAGGTTCGAACTTAGAGATTATAGTTAAAAAAATTGATTCCCATAAAAAGTTACAGAAGGTTAATACTGATGAATTATTATTGTTATTTCAACGTTACTACGAATCATAGCAAAATTTTTTTGCAACTTGATAATTGCAAACATTCTTGACAAAAAAAAAAAAAAAAAAAAAAAAAAACATCATTCACTTTGTTTATGTGCACTTTGTAAGCCCTCAATAATTAGTAATTGAATTAATTTACTCATTCGTATGAATCTAAAACTACTTTTTTGTTACCACATTACATGTACAGAAGAAGATTAATACATATAAGAGTCTTTATTTACTTTTATACGATTGATCGAGTCAGTTGATTAACGATCGATCGGAAGTTTTATAAAATTTCCATGCATTGAAAATAGTTGATTAACTGTAGTTGCAAATCAATTGAGAATCATGACTTAATAATATTCGGAAAAAATAAATTTAATTTGTTTATTAAACAACTGACTCGAATCGTTTGTCCTAACAAGCTTATTCTCAATCATAACAATAATTATTATGTTAGTTATTTCCCTCGACAAATTAATGTCGTCGAAAAATCACCTCTACCGGGTTAGTACATCTGTCGATCGACTCAAATGCAATAGTCATGTTATCACTACGTATACCAGAGCAAAAGAAAAAAGAAAATTTCATGTTGAATTAAAAGGACAGATCCAAGTAAACAAATTATTTTACAAGTTAGGTATTATGCGTATACATATCTGTGTATACGCAATGTCGCTAAATTATAGGCAATAAAATAATAAAATATCGTAAGATTTACAACTTCATCTTGAAAGCGTCCATCAGCTCGTTCACAGCTGCATTGGCAGCGGCTTGTGTCGCTGCCTGCGTCACCCTTTGCTGGATTCCCTGGACGCCACCGCGACTAAAGACACGCGCACGTCATTGATTTTGTTTTTTAATTAACTTTATTTTAGGCTCACATAAATTTTTTTTAATTATTTCTCCTTATTTATTTTATTAAATCGGTTGAAAGATAAATTAATACGAGTATGTACTTATATATACTATTTGCCCCACATGTGTGGAGACAGCAGCACAGTATTGATTTCTTGAATGACACGACGGAATGACAATGAACGAGTCCAAGTTTTCCGATAAAGGGCATCATTTGGACTGATTGTGCCTAAGGATTTTTTCATATTCATTTATTGGTTTTTCTGGTTAACCAATGCACAGCGTAATTTTAAAAGTTTTGGTTTATTTATTGATTCAATGCGACATAATTATATCATCGTCCATTCAAGAATTCAGTTCTCTGCTTATTTATCGAAGAAAAAGGTTGATATAAATTTACCAATAATTATAATGTTTAAAAAAAAATTAAAATTATTTTCTATAAAGCTCTAACCTGCTGATTTTCAACCTGTTTGAAAGAATGTTTGTACATATATTATTTTTTCCTTACTATATTCACAATTTGTCAAAAAAATAAATATCATTAGCTTCACATTCGCGCAATATTTATACAGTACACATGTATATAGAACCTCAGTAGTTTATAATCAAGCACAAACCAATCTGATGGCAGTTTGTAATTTTTTAGAAATACAAATGTACGTCCGCAACTCCATCGGAATAATCGTAATGTTCATTTATTTCATTATTCTTATCATTTAAAAAAATATGCAGGCACCGACACGTCTTTCTTTTATATACTGTACACGTGATCGACCGATACACTTGTTAATTCGGATGATGTCATGATTCGGTTGCGAAAGAACAAATGGAAAAACGCAACACACGGAAAATGAATAATCACAATGAATGGGGTTTGATGCTTCGGCATTTAAATTATCTGTTTTTTAATAAACGCAGCCACTTTTAACGCACAACACAGTGTCGATTTGGCGCCGCAACCTTTATTTAAAGCGTGTGTCATGCGTGTTATAAGTACAATAATTTGCATTGTTGTACTTCGGAGAGTGAAAAAAATATTTGCCTGCTAGTTCAACCGCAACCATAAGACCCAGCCTTTTGAAAAATATTTTATCTACGCTTTCAAAAAGGTGTAAAGTAATTTTTTTTTTGTCTCTTTGGATGCTGTTAAAAAAATAAATCTCAAATGAAATGTCATGCTGTCGAAAAGACGTTAAATCTCTGCGATGCGATACACAATCTCTGTTTTCGTATTTTCAATTATTATGTACATGGTGTCATATACAAGGTACACATCGAGGTACATATTTTTTTCTTTTTTCTTTTTCTTTTATTATATCATGGATCGTAACAATAATTATCTGGCTTAATTTACAGTTTGAGAAAAACTATGCTTTCTCGATAATAATTATTCTCTCTTTGCCCCTCGTAACGAATAAATATATATGTACTGCAAATCGATCAGGACAATCATGACATGTGTAAGAAGTGTCTCATTTTGTTCATAATATTTAAGTACCTAACGAAAAACGATACTATTAGAATAATGCAAACTTGAGGGTGTGCGATTCTCTGAATGATACAGACATTGAAAGCTTGGCGTTTGTCCTTTAGACTAAAAGCTACGCACTCGTGTTAGATAGCCAAGTAAGCTAGGATAATTTTAGGCTAAAAAGTATTATATTCAAAAAATGCATGATATGGTATAGCCGTACATAGACAAGATTCGCCGTATCATGAGAATAACAGGCAATTTTGATGCAATAAAGTGTTTTAAAAAATTACGATTATTGGCCCTCTGGAAATGCTCCATTGATAACAGTATGTAAGTTAAAGATGTTCAATGAATTTTAGTTTGCACGTGCATGAGTAAAAATTGTACTTTGAAAATTATTATTAATTTTACGAGATAATAATATCGGACATCCATGATAATTTTTGCAACAAAAAATTTTATTCGCTCAAGTAACGGACTCGTTAAAAAGTAGATATGTGTGTCAATCGTTGCAGAGCCGCACACCCTGACATTAACAATTAATTCATGATGTCACTTATTTATACTTTATATAATAAGTATTGTATGCGGACAAAGAATACCACTTTTTGCGTGGAAAATGTTTTTTTTTTTTTTTTTTCTGTTTCATGTATCAATTTGTTTTATCAACTAGATGCAACGGTTAAATATGGATTAGTAGCAATAAGGTGTGTTAGTGCGTAGACTTATTGTCGGCGCCTGCAATAAAAATTCAAGTTAGCACCAAAGCCTTACATCTTATGAGGAACTCAAACACCAGAAATAAGTAAAGGTTGTATTGAAGGAAAACAAAACTTTCGTCACAACTAATTGCAACACAAGGTGGTGAGTAATTTTAAAAATTTTCATAATCAGTGCTCATATTTTTATTATTTATTAGAAGACAAGTATATTGCATAGTAATGAAAGTTTAGTGATCAACCATTACTTTCTTAAAATTATTAAGTGTTAAATTCTAGTTAATTTGATTTTAATACGCCGGAGATCTGTTGATCATTATATATCTAATGGAAGCTTTGAGTTAATCTACTTGGGCTCTGGTTGGATCTAAGAAAATTGTAATTAAACTGCTCATGCCATGGCAAAGCAGTATTTGATGCTTATCGGAAAATGATTGGCTTATGCGTCATTATAAACCGGTACTTTCATTAGTCATTGGACACAATTTTTTTTTTCAATCTTAAATATATTAATTACTGGAGCCCTTTGAATGAATATATTTAATTCTTTTTTAGCTTAAAAATTAACTCGCTTTCTCTTGATCATTTCAAAAACTCTTATTAATAATTACTGTTTAATTGTAAGTAAATTAATTAAAAGTAAGATACGAGAGAATACAATATTATTGTAAATAAAAATTTTTGAATAATATGAAAGTGATCAAAAGAAATTGCGTTTCCTCGCATAATTTTAAGAAGATAATGGATTCCATTTAAGTTAGTGATTAACGTTAACAAAAAATTATTCCCTTGAACGAGAAAAATTCAGAAACACAAGAAAAATAAAAAATGGCTGGTTATCACAGCAACGAGATAAATTTGTACTTACGATGGGATGAGAGGAGGTGGAAGGCCACCACCAGGGGCACCTCGGCCAGGAGGTGGGCCACCGGGTCCGGGCCTGTTGGGAATGGCAGGAGCCGGCCTGCCAGTGCTTGGAGGTGGTGGTGGTACTCGAGAACCACCTGACGGTGGTCCACCAGTGTTCCTTGGTCTGCTACCTGGACCACCCGGCGATGGTGGTGATAGTCTGTTCAACAGAAAAGTCAAACACCGTAGGGGTTGAGTGGTTGTTTGAACTTTTACTTGTTTGAATACACTTGACCAAAATATTTATTTCATGATTTCGTTGTGTAAAACGTAAAGTTACTGTCAATATTTTTGTTCAAGAATATCCAAACGTCAATGGGTAGTACTTAGTTGTTTTTTTTTATGAGTGCACGATGAGTCACTTTACTTTATGGTCGTTGTAAATATTCAGTGAGTTAGTATTTTATTTGAAAATATTTTAAAGATTGAAAATTCATTCATGCAAAAGGAGAAAAAAAAGAATTTTTAGAATTAATAAATTAATAGTCTTTTAAAAGCTAGCCACAAAATATAATGTTGCAAAACTGTGAGAAAAACATATGCGTGTGATCGTTGATTGAAATAAATACGAGGAAATCTTACCCAAGACTGTGGCGGTGAACGCACAGTAAAGCAGAGAGAAGGAGATAGAGAAAAAACGTGTACAAATAGAAAATTAGTTCAAAAAATACGAAAAAAACGATAAATCGTCAATATTGAAAAAAAAAAAAAAAAAAGAACAAAAGTTACCTTGGGTTTTCGCCCGATGCGAGCCAATCATTCTTGACAGGCGGTGGTACGGGTGTCGTGACTGTAGCCATCGACACGTCCCCGATGATTTGGAGGGCCTCCTTGCACGCGTGGTACATGCGCAGCATCTCCTCGCGCTTTATTGCTTCCTCGGGCGACTCTTCCATCATGGACGACTGGTAAAGAAAAAAATAAAAATAGTGGGAGGCGTTATTCAGCGGGAGATGAAAATCAAGTAGTTTCCAATAGTTGAGGAGTCATCAGAATAATTACCTGATCTCCGCTAGCATACAAATGTGCCAAGAGCTCGCCATTGATGAAATCTTTGGCATTGTTGATTACCAAGTGCATAATGGTTTTCGGTACGAGATCTCGACAGGTTTTCGTGACGATTTTCATATAGGAGTCGACCAAGTTACGAATCGTCTCAACTTGTCTCTCCAGCTGGGGGTCCATTGATTGCTGAGTTTCACCGCCTCCCTAAATTCCGCGAAAAATTTGGTTTGTTGTTTTTTATCGAATCATAATGTTTTTTACCATAAAAAAAATTGTGCACAGGGTTAACCAATCATGTTTTTCTCGTTTTTTGGTGACTACAACACTGATTTAGTTTATTTGATATTTTAACTCAAGTTTGAGAATTTAATCAGCAAAATTTTATTGAAAAACGAACTTGACACACACACACACAAAACACTAATAACATGCAGCGTTGAATTCATAATATATGCGTTTTTTTCTATATCTAAACGGATTTTGATTGATATATAAGAATTTGCCATTGCAATACCTTTTTATGCGATGATAGGCCGCTCTGAAGTGGAAAAAAATTTTATCATACTTTAGAATCGATTGTATTTTAGAATTGATATCTTAAAGTTCAAGCTTTGAATAAATTTTTGTTTGTTTCAAGCTTATGGTGAAAATAGAATTGTTTGTGTGGCTACTTGTGAAAACACCAATAAAGTACTTTGAAAAGGTAATCTAGTCTATTAATAAAATTTTGTAAAACAGCGTTACTTAGCAAAATAAAATTGCACATTTCCTACTTTGAGAGTGGATTTTCGATTTTTACTAGATGATTTTCAAGAGAAATTTTTAATTGCTAAGTTTATTTTTACTTATAAAATTTATGAATCCATCAACTAGCTTGTGACTTCAATGCAGACATCATTAATTTCAATAGATTAGTATCCCATAAGTAGCCAATGTTAAAAATCCTTTAAAAATGAACATTTTTGCAATAATAAATGATTTTTCCCACTTCAGAACAGTAATGATAGTTTTTAAAGTTTGAATTTGCTGTAAAAAATTCTTCATACTGCATTGATAATAAAATAAAAATCATGCAAGTTAGAAAGAACAAAAAAATTAAAATTTCATGATTAGTTAACCATAGAATACGGTAAACACTCTAATTTTTAACTCTAAAATCTATAAAAATCGAATCACTCAATGTAATACACTATTACTAGCAGTAATTATTAGCTTAGTGAGTGGCTGAACAGCGAAAAATTCATGATTACGAAAAATAGCTTTAAGTTTAAAAATGTTCTGTATTATGAATGCAAAAACTGTGTTTAGTATAACAGTATGTACAAAATGTACGAAAAATACGTGTTTTACGTGCTAAGAAAGACTGAGGTGTCTGATGTTGCAAAGTGTACATGTCACAAGTGCGTTTTGAAACATATTCAAAACGATAGAATTTTACGAACCTCATATCCTTCCTTTAGTCGATACGAGTTAAGGGGAAAAATGAGTTTAGGATTAAAAAATTGTTAAATGGTATTTCAACTCTATTGCAAAAGTTTTTTATCAATAAATCATAAAGTTTATTCATTTCGTAACAAACTAAACTATCGTTTGATTATTGTTAGATTAAGCGTACACTCTATTATTTTTTCTCGCCAATAGACAATGTAAATTTTAATTACTTTAACTATTTTCAAACTCAGCAACGGGTCCTATAAATAAATATTTACATAAATTACTTTTCGATGACTGTATTTTATGGGACTAGATGTTACAGTATTGGGTCAACAAATACAACTTTTTAATTCATTTATCAAACAACGTGGTACCGATAATCAATTAAAACTTAATTATTCCGTTTGCTCGTTTAAAACATGTAAAGGTAAAACTCACCTCGCCGTCTCCATTGGCCTGTTCGGTCTGTTTTTCCGGATAGACACCAGCGCGCAAGAACGACGCCTTCCACGAGTCCACGTCGTCCTGAGTCTCGCAGCTCAACTCGAGCTGCTTGTAATCTTTGTACACGTTCCTGCCCTCGGGGTTGAAAAGGGCAAACAAATGACGGCGCGACATGAAGCCTTGCTCGAGATCGCGCAGCTTCAGGTTGTCCAGTGGCAACATGTACTTCTTTTCTCGCTCCTGCGATCGACAATACCAATAAAATAATTAAATAAAGACCAATGATATCGATAAAAAAAAATAGGTGATCACAAAATAGGGTGCGCAAGACTCTACCTCCTCGTCCTTGAACCAAGAAATGCTCTCGGAGGTGAGGACGAACCAGTAGTCCCGGGAACCTCCTTTCATTATACCGAGATTGTGTATGCACATGTAGCCCTTGCGTATGACCTGATTGCCCAGGGTGTGGCGTCCAGTCTTTACTGAGTTCTCCGAAGATTGCTGGGCGCTGCAACAGAAAGCAACATTACGTTGTGAAATCGGGGGTCTGCTCTGTTGTTCGTTTCTCTTTTTCTTGCAAAGAAAGTCAAGAATAAAATCAAACCAAATCAATAAATCGAGACAAAAATAGTAGAGGTAAGAAAATTATAAAAATAAATAGATAAAAAAAAAGTGGCTTGGATAATTGGTATTATCTTATATAAATATTATTGTAAAAAAAAAAGAAGCAATAATAGCGATGAAATTTATAGTAATTTGTAATAATAATAAAAAATAAATAAAATAGAGAGACTGTACGCAACTGTTCTAATCATACTCTCATTGGTATCATCAGAACAGTTTTTATGAAGAGCATTTGCGGACTANAAAAAAAAAAAAAAAAAAAAAAAAAAAAAAAAAAAAAAAAAAAAAAAAAAAAAAAAAAGAAGAAAAAAAATAAATGATACATAATATAACGATTATTAGAATCTCATGACTAAAAAACAAAATAAACTCGGTTAAAAACTGTATGATTGAAAAGCCGTTAAAAATTTCTCAAATTTCATACTTGATTTCTGAATGTTTATTTATTATTTGTTCATGTGTAGATTGGTTATTGTTGTACTATTGTTTTTAAAATGTAAAAGAGCAAAAAGCTAGCAACAAAGAGTTAGTTATCTTTTGCGTTTGGGGTTATTTCATTATTTACGATCATATGCAGTTAAATATTTTTCAGCTCACAAAACGAAAGGTGTTACGGTTTTTTTTTTTTTTTTTTTTTGGTAATTTACAAGTTTTTTTTTTTTTTTTTTTTTTTTTTTTTTTTTTTCTGTTTCATGTATCAATTTGTTTTATCAACTAGATGCAACGGTTAAATATGGATTAGTAGCAATAAGGTGTGTTAGTGCGTAGACTTATTGTCGGCGCCTGCAATAAAAATTCAAGTTAGCACCAAAGCCTTACATCTTATGAGGAACTCAAACACCAGAAATAAGTAAAGGTTGTATTGAAGGAAAACAAAACTTTCGTCACAACTAATTGCAACACAAGGTGGTGAGTAATTTTAAAAATTTTCATAATCAGTGCTCATATTTTTATTATTTATTAGAAGACAAGTATATTGCATAGTAATGAAAGTTTAGTGATCAACCATTACTTTCTTAAAATTATTAAGTGTTAAATTCTAGTTAATTTGATTTTAATACGCCGGAGATCTGTTGATCATTATATATCTAATGGAAGCTTTGAGTTAATCTACTTGGGCTCTGGTTGGATCTAAGAAAATTGTAATTAAACTGCTCATGCCATGGCAAAGCAGTATTTGATGCTTATCGGAAAATGATTGGCTTATGCGTCATTATAAACCGGTACTTTCATTAGTCATTGGACACAATTTTTTTTTTCAATCTTAAATATATTAATTACTGGAGCCCTTTGAATGAATATATTTAATTCTTTTTTAGCTTAAAAATTAACTCGCTTTCTCTTGATCATTTCAAAAACTCTTATTAATAATTACTGTTTAATTGTAAGTAAATTAATTAAAAGTAAGATACGAGAGAATACAATATTATTGTAAATAAAAATTTTTGAATAATATGAAAGTGATCAAAAGAAATTGCGTTTCCTCGCATAATTTTAAGAAGATAATGGATTCCATTTAAGTTAGTGATTAACGTTAACAAAAAATTATTCCCTTGAACGAGAAAAATTCAGAAACACAAGAAAAATAAAAAATGGCTGGTTATCACAGCAACGAGATAAATTTGTACTTACGATGGGATGAGAGGAGGTGGAAGGCCACCACCAGGGGCACCTCGGCCAGGAGGTGGGCCACCGGGTCCGGGCCTGTTGGGAATGGCAGGAGCCGGCCTGCCAGTGCTACAGCAGCACAGTATTGATTTCT